TCTTTCTCGAGGGAAAAGAACCATTGTTGACAAACGGTTTCGAGAGATAGTGGGAACAGAGAGGGGAAAACCTTCTTATCGATACCCTTAATGCTCATTATAGTTTCAAAAGCTCTTAGATGGAAGTAAGGGTTATCTATTGCCTTGAATTTAGGGATTTCAGTGGTGTTGAACTTATGCGGAAGAAGCTCCTTGTCCAGCGAGACCCCTTGTGAACTCATGCCCTGAAATTTATAGTCACTAGATAGCTTTCTCAAACTTTCTTGCATGAGGTTCATTTGTTGTTGCTTCACAGGATCATCGATCTTGAGTGTGAGTAGCCTCAGTGTCTCAGTCACGGTGACCAATTGGTTCCTAAGCTCATTGACTTCTTCTTGAGTTGTCATTATCCTTTTAGCCTTCCTCTTTTGACGAATCGGTTTATCGAAAAGTGAAACTTGAATAAGGTTGTCCTTGATTAATCGCCCTTCTCTCCTCGACCAAGTACTGTGGAAAACGAATTTGGGGATATTCATTGTTAATTATTCAAATCAAACTCTATTCAACATGCAATGGAAGGAGGATGTGAAGAAATATTGGAATAGAATGTGAAGGAAAATGATGTAGATGGAGGGGTATGAAGAATTAGGAATAGAATGTATCCCCCAACTCAAATGACAGAAAAAAACCGACTTATGCATGAACCTAAGACATGGTCATGGTGACATATACTCAAAGTGTGTGATAAGACTAGTGAGTGTAGGTGACACGTTAAGACTCGTGTTATGACCATGTGGCTAGACTATGTGACTAGACTCAAGCAAAGACTAAGTTAAGACTTCACGTATATGCATTAAACTAGATAGACTGTGGTATTTTAGTCATATCTTTTTATCTGTGACTCTGATTTGGATGACACCAACTCCAAATTAAAGATAAAACTCGGGGCTACAGATCCATAGGTTGCACGAATCATAGTTCTTCCTAGAACTTCGGCTGTGACCAAAACAAGTTGACGTTTGTGCAATATATGGGAATAAAAAATCCGGGTTGACTTAAAGGAACTATGACTCGATTTTATGTTTATTTATTAGCTCAAATTAATTAATTTATTAATTAAACAAATTCCTTTAGTCATTAATCAGTTTATTTAGTCTTAACACAAGTCAAACACACGGTTTGGAAAAACACATAGAGTATGCACAACAAATAATGCACAATTAGTCAAGTAGGCACAATATGATGCAATGAGTTTGCAACCTAACCATGGCTCTAGTTCTCTAAATTTCGGGATATGGTTTAGTCAATAGAGGGTCCATGGTTAATTGTCCGGATGCACCGCGCGGAAGCCTAACCGTGAAGGGTTGGCGCGAGTGGATGGGACACCGCGAGCTTTAGAAAAAACTCGCTTCCATGGTTTGGTGAATTCAACATTCTCGGATGTACCCTTTGTTGCACGGAGCGTTCAATCGGGTAGATGGAGCATGAATTCCCAGAGGGTTATGTCCATGTGTAGAACACATATGGGTTTCAGAAAAGTGAGAAAAAATTCAATCAGGAAGTAGGATCAAGTAAACAATACGAAAAACCGGTCGAAATTAGAATGCATATTTCTGGCTCGGTACTGGGGGAGGTTGGCGCAAGCAATCAGAGACTGGCACCACATTTTATCTGTAGCGCCTGGCGCCAATGATGGCGTCTGGCGCTACGGTTAAAATTGTGGCGCCAATGCTCTAGCCCCTGACGCTACTTCCCACATGCCTCAGCAGCTTTCTGTGCTCGATAAAATTTTCCAGTTCCGCGCGGTGTTATTTCGGTCCAAGTTGTGAAAGATATTTCTCAAATTTCCTACGTGTAAAATCCTATGTTTTTAACTCATTACGGATGGTCTTTCCAATGAGATCTTTTTTATGCATATGACAATAATGTTAATCAAAATTACGCACATGAAATACTTAGAACGTTTCGAGTCTCATCCACTCATTCTAGATCATTGCCGAAACAAATTCAGGAATTAAAATAGAAATCCTCCCCAGTGGAGTCGCCAAAAACTGTGGGGAATAAATTTCAGGCGTTAATCCCCTAGCTTGAACCCAACTGTGATCATACACCAAAGTACGGTGGCGTCCAAAAGGGAAGAAGATAGAGAAAAAGAGTCGCCAACAAGTTTTAGGAACTTATAAACCGTTCACAGGGTGAAGGTTACACCCCTTAACGATCCAAGAGATCGTCAACTCCATAAGGTCTTGAACCAAATAAGGGTTTGGGGATGAAGGTACAAATCCAACCTAAAAGAGATTGAACCTGCCCTAATAATAGGCCTCTACTTTATTCTGATCGTATTCATGTGCGCTTTTTCATTAACATGAAATCAATAGGATTAACCCTAAACCTGTTTATCTATGTTGGTTGAATTTAATGTACAAATAAAACTATTATTGGCGATCACTTGAATTATAATCATAATTAACCCTAACAAGATTATTAATTATCTTATTAAGCGTGATTACAAGTACAAATTCCCTTTAAACATGCATAAAAGGTGTGATCAAGCAATAAAAATAAATATCATCAAGCAACATAATAATCATAATAATGAATATAATCATGATCATAAAATTATAACAATGAAATTATCATCATAATAACAATCATATTAACCATAATAATAATCGTGTTAATCATAGTAATAATCGTCATATTAAAATAATAATCACCAAAATAATAATAATAATAATATTCATAATCATCATAAATTATAACAATTATAATCATAATCATGTTCATGTTAATATTAAGGCATAATAATAGCAAGATGCTAGGCATGATACTAACAAGATTAATAACCAACCCTAGCATGTCACTAAGCAATAAAAATCAAAACTTTAGCCCTTACATGATACTAACAATCATAAATATTAGTAAGAACATAGGAAGCATCGCAGGAATCATAATAAGCATATTTGATATTATAACCTTTTCCCTAAACATGATACTAGGAATATCATAATAACAATATAAACATGATATCTACATCATAATATCAATTAAATCAATTAAAGCACTTACTTTGATGCCTCCTACCTCTTTCTAATAACAAAATACACACGTTAGTAACTTCAAGGAAAATAAATAAACAAAGCAATTAAATCAAATAATCGAAAGAGAGATTTGGGACCAAACCCTCAGAAATTAAACCTTTCACGTCTAGGGCGAATGCAACTTCGAATATGGCTAGGTGTTTCTAGGTCTTGAGAATGCGGAATTTTGTATGTGAAAATCAAGTTTAAAGAGAAAGAGAAAGAAAAGGAGAGATGAATGAATTAAGAGAGAATTAGAGAATTAAAACTGGTTGTAGGTGATTATAATTGAAAAGCTGGTTGTTAATCCCCTGAAAACGGGGTTTTTAATACGTTATTTATAGAGAAATCAGCCAAAAAGATAAAATATCAAAACAGAGCACTTGGCGCACGTAAAACAAGATTGGCGCCAGCAAAACAGAGCTAGCGCCAGCACCAGCTAATTGGCGCCAGGCGCCAATGGCTAGCACCAGGTGCCAATGGCTGGCGTCAGGCGCCAATGCCTGGAGTCAAGCGCCAGGCCTGTTTTTGACGCGTTTTTGAAAATCAGATAAGTTTGCCGTACTGGAGGATAAAATCGTATCCCTCAAAAATGCTTTTTGATTTTAATTAAAACTCTGAAAAGTCAACAAAAGTCAATTTATCAATGCTAATTGAATTAGGAATGAAAAGAACCTTCTAGAAGAATCTAGAAGACTAAAACCATTCCTAATTGCATTAGGAATGATTAATCATATTAGGCCCTCCCCTAGATCATTGGGCCGCATATAAGGTTCAAACTGGGCCCAGTTTAGTAAATTGGCCATAACTTCCTCATTATTCATTGGAATTGGGCTTATAATATATCGTTGGAAAGGTCTTGGCAAGCCCCATCCAACTACACTACTATCGGACCCATATCATGGACCAACCAAACTGGATTGGCTATTTTCTTAAAATAAGTTTTCAAAAACAGAGAGAAGAGAAAAGAAATTAAAACTATCCGCAACACTAGACATTCCACCTTTCACTTCATTCGATTATGGTTCGACGTGAAAGGTACTCATCACTGGGTTTGGTTTTGGGGAGACACAAATGGGTGTCTACATTAGCCCAGAAACTTACCTACAGCTACTCCGAACGAACATTTGGACAGGCTCAGCTTCATTTCATACTTCCGGAGGATGCTGAATGTTTCTTCCAAATGGGTCACATGATCAGCTGCTTTCTTGGACTTTACCAACATATCATCGATGTAGACCTCCATGGTGTCCCTGAGTTGATCCTTGAACATTTTGTTGACTAGCCTTTGAAAGGTTGAACCTGCGTTCTTCAAACCGAACAACATTACCTTGTAACAGTAGATTCCTTTATCTGTCATGAAAGTCGTCTTCTCTTGATCATCTGGGTGCATCAAGATTTGGTTGTATCCGGAGTATGCATCCATGAAAGTGAGGAGTTCGTGGTCAGCTGTTGCATCTACCATTGAGTCTATATGAGGGAGAGGGAACGGGTCCTTGGGGCATGCCTTATTCAGGTCCGTGAAGTCGATGCAGACTCTCCAGGTTCCATTCTTCTTGCTGACGACAACCACGTTAGCTAACCAATCTGGATATTTTACTTCCCTTATCTTCCCGGTATCTAGCAGCTTCTGAACTTCCTCATTGATGATCTGATTACGTTCTGGTCCGAATTTCCTCCTTTTTTGTTTTACCGGCCTTACACTAGGGTCCACGTTCAGCTTATGGGTGATGATTTCAGGACTGATTCCCGTCATATCTTGGTGCGACCATGCGAAGCAATCTGAATTTTCTCTGAGGCACTTGATGATGGCTTCTTTTTCTGTTCTGTTGTCAATGCAGCTCTGATTTTAACCTTTTGCTCCGGCTTTGACTCATCCAGCACAACTTCATCTAATTGTAATTCATCTGGACGCTTGGGTGCTGGATTTTTCTGTAATTGCTAGATGGCGGGGCCATGGGGTTTTAGGGCGAGCTGGTAGCATTCCCGCGCTTGCTTTCTGTCTCCTTCGACTACTGCTACTCCCCACGGGTTTGGAAATTTGAGCAGCTGGTGATAGGTAGATGGGATAACTTTCATTTTATGGATCCAAGGGGTTCCTACTATCACATTATAAGCGGTTTTGCAATCTATCACGTAGAACTTGTGCATCATGTTGATTCCTTTGAGCAGCGTAGGCAGCTGGATTTCTCCTAGGGAATTCATAGGTTCGCCATTGAATCCAACCAGAACTGTAGACCTCTTGGTGATGTCTGACTCTTTGAAGCTAGCTTGATCTAGGGTGTCTTTGAAAATTATATTGGTCGAGCTTCCATTATCTACCAGTACTCTCTTCATCTTGCAATGACCCACATGGAGGGAGATTACCAAGCAATCATGATGCTCGGGCTCGTTGAACCTACTCTCATCGAATACTATTTCCATATCATCCAGCTTCTTTTCTTCACTGCTTGGATAAGTTTGGGGGATGCTGGACGCTGAGGTGCCAACTCTTGCTATACGATTTGCATTGGAGTAGGTTAGACCGCTGATGCTAGATCCTCCTGATATTGCTTGAATCACAACGCCTGGGTAGGCGAAGCTGGCGGACCTGGCAGTGCTTCCCGCTTAATTTCAGGTCCTTTTCCCTTCTTTCCAAGGAGGTCTTTTAGATAGCCTCTTTTGAGCAGCCAGGATACTTCTCTTTTAAGACTGTTACATTCATCAGTCCTATGCCCATGGTCTCCATGGTACTCGCACCACCTTGATTTATCCTTCTGATGGTCAGGTTTGTCGCTCTTCCTAGGCCACCTCACCGGTTGCCCAATATCTTTGAGAGCGTTCACCACTCTCACTATATTGGTATCGAAACCATATGAGCTGATATCTGGATGATATTCTATTGCTGGCCAGCTGGAGTTTTCACCTGCTTTTGGCTCGGATATGCTGTTGACATTGCTGCGCCTTGGCTGCCAGCTACTTTGTCGGGTTCTAGAGTTTTGATTGTTGAAGGATTGATTCCCCAGGTACCCCGATGGTCTCCTTTCAACCCAGTTTCTGGCATGCTCATCCTCTTCTACGCGGACTTCAGCCATTGCTCTCGTTCTAACTTCTTCAAATGAGGAGCAAGGATATCTTGTCAGCTCATAATACAACCTGGATCTGTAATTGAGACCTTTGCGAAAAGCTTTAATAGCAGTTGAGTGGTCACAGTTTTTGATGCTGACCATTTCTCGATTGAACCTGTCCTAGTACTGTCGGGTTGTCTCGTTCTGCTTCTGAACGATCTGATACAGGTCACTGCTTTGCTTATCCAGCTCTCGGCTGGTAGCGAATTGCTGGTAGAATTTGTTCACCAAGCTGGAGAAGCTGGCGATGGTACCTGACTTTAGATTGATAAGCCATTGAAGTGCGGGTCTTGATAGAGTAGCGCCAAAGGACTTGCACATGGTGGGCTCAATTAGTTCCCACGGGATTGATAATTGCCACATCTTTTGCTTGTACTGGGCCACATGATCTTGAGGATCAGTGGTTCCGTCATACATCTTTGGGAATGAGGGGATGCTTAGCTTTGTGGGAATACGCACTTTAGCAATCTCCTCCATGAATGGGGATTCAGCGAATCCATCACGAGATTCATAAGCCACAGGTTTAGGAACATCTGGTAGACGGGTCAGGAGTTTCATCATTTTCCGGTTTTGGGCTTTGATAACGGAAACTTCCCTGGCCATAGGGTTGGGATTCCTATTAGATTGTTCCTCATTACCACGAGATCCCTCTCCCGCATCTTCACCTTCAGATTCATCAGAGGAGACCAGGGTGAATTGGGGTATGTCATAGATTTTAGCCCTTTTTTTCTTATTGCTCCCGACAGATTCAAGCTCTTTGGATAGCTTCTCCAAGGATGCTTCAGATTCAGCTTTGAGTCTTGCTAAGGTTGCTTGAGATTCTTCTTTGAGCTTCTGGCTCCGCTCTATGGAGGCTTTCAACTCTTCTCGCAATTGCACGATTAATGCATTCGCGTTTGGATCAGGGTCTTCTCCCATAATGAAAGATGGACCGAATTATCTAACTGTATCCCCACAGACGGCGCCAAACTGTTTTGGTCAAAAAACTGATTACCAGGTTTGACCTGAGTTGCGATAATTACAGCTAGATCAAAATGGAAAAATATGCTAACAGAGATTAATGGATAGGAAAAAAGGGGAAAGAGGGGAGAAGACACAAAAGATGATGACGTAGAAAACCCCAAGAATAAGGGTAAAAACTGCGGGCGACTATGAGTCCACCAATCCACTAAATGTTTATGTAGAACAGGTTATTACAGATGGTAGAATGAATACCAATGATAGGTTTTTTCTATGATAATTCTTAATAGTAAGGCTATTATATTTTGTGATGCCTTGTACAATGATTAGGCTTGCCCTTATATACTAGAAAAGCATTCAAAAGATCTTCAACTTCTCTTTCCCTCAATCCCTAGGAATCCGGAGCTAACGGCCCAAGCTGCTCCTATTTTCTCTCCACGTCTCCAAGCCTGGTATTCCCACGTTTGAATTGGTCTTCCTCAACGGCTAGACTGCTGGTAGTGGTTCCGATTTCCTTGGATAGCATTTTGTACCTTTTTCCCACTCGAAGATTCCTAGGAATATTCTGTAACACCCCAATAATTCTCCCTTTTCCAAACCACTTATTTTAAATAAAAATAGAAGAGAACCATTGGCATGTTACCGCCACGTGTTAAAACGTTAAGGCTTTATCAAAGTATTGCAGCGGAAATCCAACTTAAATATTAAAATAATATAAAATTTAGAAAACCAATAAGTCAAAGCTTACAAATTGGAACCATAAAGGCCCTTATTAAAACCAAACCAATATTCCAAAATCCCAAAACATAATTAAAATAGTAAAACATAAATAAGTTCAACACAAAGAACGAATACTCTCAATCACACCAATCCCTTGACAATGCGTATGTCAAATCTCCGAACTTCTCATCATCAAGCTAACCTGTGCAATACTGCTCCCCAATAATACAAGTGTAATAATTGGATCATCACAGGGTCATTGAAAGGCGAAGGCCATGACCAAAAGAAAACACACAAAAGCACGCAATCAGCAAAGTTGAGTACATACAAGCTACAACGTACCAAGCCTAGCATGCTCAACTAATTAAAGTAAATAAACATACAACATAAATTCATTAATCAAGACTCCACACTTAAACAATTCAATCGACTCAACATACTTGCTAATCAATTCCAAACACTTGACTCTTTATATTTAATTTCATTAATTTAGTTTGGAGTAAGCAATAGACGAGGTTGTCCAATCCACCAAATCATTTTGGTCCCAAATGACCATTTAAAATAAAAGTTTAGCGCGATGCAAGAATGGGCACGACTCCATTCTCACAAAGTTAGTCTAGGATCCCATCTAACTTTCATTATAAAATAAAATGTAAATACCAAAAGAGAAGAGGACATGTTGATCAAACAAGCCTCGAAAAGCCACGGGCTACCACCGTGTACCCCAACCCATAATTGTCAATACTCTAGAAGTGCACGCTTTCCAGAGTTTTATTGCTCATCCATGTTTCACTTTACGTGATTACAATTTTAATTAATAGCTGACTCAATCAAGAAGACCATACATAACAATCATACATCAATTCACTTTTAATATTATTTAGGACAATGGTGATCACATCACAAGTTGACCTTTAATTCCACTAAACTTCCAAATTATTCAAAATTGTTGAACATAGTCAACCCACCTAGCCATTTCGGCTTAATCCACCTTTACTCAACATACTAACAAGTCATGATTGAGTAATAAATAAATAAATAATAACCTTGTGGAATAATTAATAAATTCATTCCACTTAAACCATTCAATTCCAATCCTTTAATAATCCAAATGTGGTTAACAAACCAATCCAATAAAACATGTTTGTATCAACATTCCATACAAATAATTAATCCAATATAATTCAACATGTTTGCATACATAATTCCATACAAACATAATCAATTCACCAAAACATGTCTCATAAACATAAGCACATGAATTAATTAAATGTATAACCAAACAATTTTCATCCAAGTGTTCTCTAATCATGAAACTAAGTTCTTTTCTTTGGTACCTAAACATGATACTACTTACAACGAAGTAGACATGTACGTACCTCGTATAAACAATCCTTTGTGCCACTTTTAATCACTTAAAAGTCTCCTAAGAAATAATCACTTCCTAGAAAACAAGCAACAATAATAAATTAATACTTAACCAAATTTCCAGCAATATAATTTAGATTAAAACTCCTTAAAAATTCATTAAAAACATGTTTTTATGGTTAATTATGCATTAGAAATACAATAGGAACAAAAGCCCCAATTTAATTAGTCATAAGAACCCTAAAATCCCAATTTAAATAAATTGAAACCCTAGGTTTTTAAACTTATAAAATCTAAAAATTATAACAACAATTATAATCTGAAATTATTAGTTTAAAACATAAAAACATGGTTTTGATACTAAAAATATAAACTTTATACTATAAAATCAAAACCCAAAACTAATCGTAAACATTAAGCATAAAAAAACTTCGTTAAAAATCAAAAACTACCCGAAAATCTTAAAACATTATTTCCACATGGAAAACACTACTTTTTTGTCAAAATCGAATGAGTTTAGAACCTGATCGGGATTAAAACGGGATTAATATTAACGAACCAAAATCTAAACATTAAAACACAAATTTACGTGTTCAAAATAATCTGGAATTAAGTTAAACTAATTAGTAGTATAATCACCAAAATTTCAAAACATCATTACTATAAAAGCCCTAAATCGATTGTTCATAAAAACCCTAAAATCATGATTTTCAATGATTAAAAACCCTAGGTTATTAAATTTACAAAATCCGAAAATTATAACATTTATAAAATCTGAAATTATAAAGTTTAATCATCAAAATACAATTTGATACTAATTAAATTAATTTCAAACAATAAAATCAAAACCCATAATCAATAATTATAATTACACAAATTAATAAAACAAAGGAGAAAGAAAATAAGACTAACCTAAGTGTGGGGAAATTTTTGGGGATGTATGGGGTATTTATAGGAGAGAGGGTAGTAGGGTAAGTAGGGATATTGGGCCTCATTAAATTAATGGGTCAATTAAGAAAGTAAACTGGGTTTGGTGTCCAGTCCGCTCTGTACCTGCTAATGTTCCTGGCGCATTTCTTCTTCAGGTTCATCGAAGAACCAACCAGGTTTGTTTGTTGGATATAAATTATAGAAGGAAGGTTCATAAAAAGTTCTTTGTAATAAAATCGTTTATCAACCCCAAAAATAATTTGAAACTTTTGAAATTAAATTCCGGAAAAATACAAGTAAATATTATAAATAATATATAATTTCATTTATAATATATTTTAAAATATGGGGGATTACATATTCCTTGAGAACATGCTCCGTTGCTAGGTAACTTTGCAGCTATCTTCGACCTGTATGTCACTAATCTGCAACCTGCAACCTGTCTACCTGTAGGTCATAGGAATTTTGGGGTGAAAATTCTAGCACAACAATCCACACACCTTTTTTTAGTAGCAATATGCTTGAAACGATAGTCTTTCTTATTCTTTGAACCTTTCTCCTCTTTTTGTTGTTCATTAATTTCATCTTTCACTTTCAATGGCTGACAATCTACATCCCTATATTATATTTATACAATATTAAAAATTGCACACAGATTATACATAAAAAGAACACACATAAGAAAAAAAAAAAGGGTATAATTTGTTTGAACAAGTTACACTAAGATGATCAAATTTTACTTAACAAAAAAGAATACATAAAAAAAGAGCATAACATATATGATTATTAAACACCTTTACACATGCATTACATAAAAAACAGAACACACATACCATATACAAAAAAAAAAAAAGAACAAACAAGTAATAAAAAATGACCACACATATATTAAACCAAAAAAGAATAAATATGCCTATTAAAAAGAACACAATGTTTTAGTTTAGGGAACATCAACATTGAATAGAATGCTACTACTACTTTCGATTTACACAGAACACAACGGTTTCGAAAAAGAACATAATACCTTCATATAAAGAACATGCATATAAATAATACTTTATAAATTGACCCTACCATACAGATCTACCTTTTTTAATGAAGTTGACAGTACATTGAAGTCCTAA